CACCTAGGAGCCTGTGACAGGCATGGATAATATGAGAGAAATGGTGGATAAATTCTACCGATATAATCCAGAAATGTCATGGCGGGCAGCGGAAGGACAATGCGGAATAGGTTTTCCTAACACAATGAAGCAAATGAGGAAGGTTTTTCATTCAGTCTTTATTGGATCCTTAAGCAGTTAATGTTTAATGTTTAAATTTTTATCATTTAAATATAATTTTTAATTCTTTTAATATGTACTCAAAAAGGTATTGAGATGAAGCCTAAGAGGAGGGAGGTTATTTTAGGAGTACCGGGATCTGATACTTAAGAACAACGCCAAGTAGAGTAACCCCACTCAGAGTCGATATCTCTTGTCTCCAACACTCCACTCCAGCCCACTAATGTGGCCTGCATGTCATCAGACATATCTATCTAAGTTGTACCCTGTGACTATAAAGCTGCAGAATACCACTATATACATCATTACTGTCCCTCCTACTGGGTCCAGGTTTCAGAATATATGAGAGAAGACCTTTGGCTAGATCTGAGAAGTAGAAAGGAGTAAATCTGTCAACTACCCAGAAACCTACTAGGCTTCAAAGAAGAGATATCACTGATGTGAGCGGTAGGTAATAAGACCTTTTTGTATAATAATATGATATTGAATATTAGAGGATTTCTATGAAGAGCCAATATATTTCCATCCACCCTACAATATTTAGAAGAGTTTAGAACTCATACAAAGCACTACCAACAAAGCTAACAGACTGCTTAAAGTGTTACAACTGGGTCAAGGAATGCGGTATGCTTGCCGGAATTGTTACCAAAGCTAGATAATCACGAAAGTCCTATTATGTAGGACAACCAGGAGTTGCTGACTGAGAGATTATCTGCTCCTCAGGTAGAATAGCTTCCCACAAATTAGTACAAAGTTATCAAGAAGATATTTGCTGGTTGGATAAGGAGCTATTGAGATTTAAAATCAGCAACTTATGATGGTTGCATCTAGGCCTACTCCTGCAGACATGACCCATGGATGAAACTAATCATTTTATTAATCGGAGAGTCAATTGGATCCAATACAGCTCGACTTGAGAACTCGACTATAAGTCTGAAAACTCTGAATATCAGATTATTACTATTGGAAATAGTACAGTTCCCCCACTGGCCAAATAGTGAATTACCAAAAAGAGTGTGAGGGTTTTCTGGATCTCCCAATATTTGTACTTTTGGAGAATACCAGATATTACAAGTTATTGTTAGAAAGTTATATGATTTGTATAAGAAAAAGATATAGTCCACGAACACTCAAATATGGAATACAAATATTGAAGTGCTTTCCAATCTTATACACCTCATCAAGGAACGGAGAAGAAACCTTAACAATCTAGTATTGTTCACAAGATTCCATTTTACTTTACTTTACTCTTTCTAGTCATAAATGTAACCTGCAACTCTTTAAGCCTTCCAAGACAAATCTCTCTGTCAAGAAATAAATCTAGATTATCCTAGTCAACTCTGAGTCTATACCGATCATCTCTGGCTAACAAAACCTCCTTTGGAATTGCTTTCAATTTGAACCCTGCCTTCTTAACCATGTCCTTATTGTCCATACCAAGAAACTTTTTTTTTTTCCTAATACTACCTTCTTTTATCCTATCTGGAATTACTGTCTTATTCAAGAAAGTCTCCACTTCATTCTGCTTGATTATTCAATTATCCTGGTTAGCAGAATTTCACTATAAAACTTGGCCTCTATGTAAATATGCTTGAATTTACCCTAAATGTTCTTGGGTGGGAAAGACCACTTTACATTACAACAGATCACCTGGTTATATTTATAGAAGAATATAAAATGGATAAAAAAAGAAAACAGATTACACCATACCTAAAAGTTTTTTGGCTATAATTCTCAAATGCAAGAATAAA